TTGGATTGTCATTAAATATTTGACACAGCATAGGTTTCTGACACAGGATGAATGTGGTGTAAGAACTGGAAAAAATTTAATTTACCTATTATGGTGGAATATCCATAAACTAAATTGTTTGTTAATTTCAATATATCAAAGAATATGTAGAATTCAATGTTTGATGTAATGTAATAAAGTTGAAATTTGGACCCTTTTTGTTCAATGTGGACCAATTTGGTAACATGTATAAATAATCAAAAATCTAAATACATGGGAGCCCATTTAAATACATCATAAAGGTATTAAAATAGAAAGTGACATCATAGTCACAGCTAAAAATAAACAAAAATCCTTAATCAGCAACATTTAAAGTAATATCTAAAAATAAAATTCCTTTGTAACCATAAAAGCCCATTTAAATACATCATAAAGATATTAAAATAGAAAATGACATCATAGTCATGGCTAAACATAGCAAAAAACCCTTAATCAGCATCATTTAACAGTAATATCTAAAAATGGAAATTACATCATAAAGGTATTAAAATAGAAAATGACATCATAGTCATGGCTAAAAATAAACAAAATCCTTAATCAGCATCAGCAACATTTTACAGTAATATCTAAAAATAAAATTCCTTTGTAACCATAAAAGCCCATTTAAATACATCATAACATATATTAAAATAGAAAATGACATCATAGTCATGGCTAAACATAGCAAAAACCTTAATCAGCATCATTTAACAGTAATATCTAAAAATAAAAATTTCTTTGCAACCATAAAAGTAAAATAGAAAATGACATCATAATCATAGCTAAAAATAAACAAAAATTTTTTTTATTGGCAAATTTTAAATAGAGTTTATTATACTAAAACAATAAATTTGCAACCATAAAACCCCATTTAAACACATCATAAAAGTATTAAATAATTCAACTACATCATAAGGCTATAAAAATAGAAAATGACTTCATAGTCAAGGCTAAAGGTAAACAAAAAACCTTCATCAGCAAAATTTTATATTGGCAAATTTCCAATGAAGTTTATTATACTAAAATTGTTGGCAAATTTCCAATGCATTTATTAACAATAAAGTTATTGGCAAATTTCCAATTTACATAATTTAAAAGCAGTGTAGGTGAGATATTTAAATGAGTTTGAATTACCAACCTTACACTGCTTTTAAATAATGTTTTGTACTTAATTGTCTATTAACCTGGAAACCCTTGTTTTTTCACCTTTTTTTCCCTTATTATTTAAAGGTTTGAGCCATAACCCTACCCCAAAGCCAATTCTTAAATTCCAATGTAACCTAAATTTACAATATACATAACTTAAATTTAAGTTTTTGATAAAATCAAACCACATCATTATTATTTGCTTTTAAATCTAAATAACCAACTTTAAGTGGAAAATTTTCACACATCACGCCCCCCCCCCCCCCCCCCCCCCCCCCCAAACTCAATCCCAGCCTTCAATTTGTGGTATGGTACCTTGCAGTACAATTTCACAGAGATCCAATTACTTGAACACAATTAATTGTTGGAAACTAAAAAAAAATGCTTATTTTTAACCACTTTTTTAGCCCCTTATTCCTAAACGTTTGAGCAATTATCCAGCAGTACAATTTCACAGAGATCCAATTACTTGAACACAATTAATTGTTGGAAACTAAAAAAAATGCTTATTTTTAACCCCTTTTTTAGCCCCTTATTCCTAAACGTTTGAGCAATTATCCCCCAAACTCAATTCCAACTTTCTCTTTGTGATCAGAATTAACCAACTTAAAATGGAAAATTTAAAAAAAAAAAAAAAGGAAAAAAAATCCCCCCCCAAAATTTTCTGACCCACTTCCCTTTGTGGTATGGTACCTTTAAGTACAATTTCAGAGAGATCAATACACTTGAACACAAGTTATTGTCTGGAAACTAAAAAAATGCTTATTTTTGCCCCCTTTGTTATTGTCTGGAAACTAAAAAAATGCTTATTTTTGCCCCCTTTTTTGGCCACTTATTAATAAATGTTTTGGGCAAACATTTTACAATAATATTTAAAACTGAAATTCCTTTGTAACCATAAAATTAAATAGAAAATGACATCATAGTCATAGCTAAAAATAAACAAACTATTGGTAAATTTCCAATGGAGTTTATTATACTAAAACAATAAATTTGCAACCATAAAAGCGCATTTAAATACATCATAAAAGTATTAAAAAAAATTTAACTACATCATAAGGCTATTAAAATAGAAAATGACATCATAGTCAAGGCTAAAGGTAAACAAAAAACCTTCATCAGCAAAATTTTATATTGGCAAATTTCCAATGAAGTTTATTATACTAAATAATTGGCAAATTTCCAATTTACATAATTTAAAAATAGTGTAGGTGAGATATTTAAATGAGTTTGAATTACCAACCTTACACTGCTTTTAAGTAATGTTCTTTACTCAATTATTTGTCTTTTAAAATGGAGACCCTTGTTTTTTAACCTTTTTTCCCCTTATTCCTTAAACATTAAAGCCAATTATTACTTTCCAATGTAACCTAAATTTCCAATATACATAATTTTAAATTTCAATTCCTCATGATATATAACCGTATCATTATTATTTTCTTTCATATATAAATCTGAAACAACCATCTTTAAATGGAAAATTTTAAAGAAAAAAAAAGGAAAAAAAAAAATCCTACCCCCCACACATTTTTTCAACCCCCTTTTGATTCATCATCTCCCACCTCAATCACAACCTTCAATTTGTGGTATGGTACATTGCAATACAATTTCACAGAGATCCATACACTTGAACACAAGTTTTTGTTGCAAACTAAAAAAATCCTTATTTTTGACCAATATTTGGCCCCTTATTCATAAATGTTTGAGCAATTAACCCCAAAACTCAATTCCTACTTTCTCTTCGTGATAAAAAATAACTAAGTTAAAATGTAAATTTTAAACAAAAAAAAAAAGGAAAAAAAATAATTACCCCTTTTTTGACCCCCCCCCCTTTTATGATTCATCACCCCACCCCACCCCTTTCCCCCCAAACCAAGCTCAATAACAGCCTTGCCTTTGTGGTATGGTATCTTGTAAATACAATTTTAGAGAGATCCATACACTTGAACACAAGTTATTGTCTAGAAACTAAAAAATGCTTATTTTAAACCCCTTTTTAGGCCCCTTATTACTAAACGTTTTGGGCAATTACCACAAAACTCAATTCCAGCTTTCCCTTTGTGAAATGGAACCTTGTAGTAAAATTTCAGAAAGATCCATACACTTACACACAAGTTATTGTCATGAAACTAGAAAAATGCTTGTTTTTTGCCCCCTTTTGGCCCCTTATTCCTAAAATTTGGGGCAAGTAACCCCAAAATCAATCCCAGCATTGACCCTTTGTGATATGGAATCTTGTGGTACAATGTCAAAGAGATCCATACGCTAACACACAAGTTATGTCTGGAAATTACAAAAATGCTTATTTTCGGCCCCTAATTCCTTAACTGTTGGTACCATAACCCCCAAAATCAATCCCAACCTTCCTATTGTGGTATTGAACCTTATGGTAAAGTTTCATAGAGATCCATTCACTTAAACTAAAGTTAGAGTGCGAAAACCATTGTGTCTTCGGACGATGACGACGACGACGCCAACGTCATACCAATATACGACCCCAAAATTTGTTTGCGGTCGTATAAAAATTGCAACATCCTGTTAAACTTAAATCGCAAGGCCTTTTGAGTTCATTAGATAAGTAATACACGAGTTTAAGAAAAAAAGGGCTTTCTTTTTACCTGTAAAACACACATGTACTGAGGTAAATAAACCTTATTAATTGTCCAGTAACCATAAAATATATCTGAAACATTCAAAAAAATTTGAATTACATTGAAAATATTAGTCACAATTCAGTTTTGAGATTATTTGATCAGTTTTTATTTTTATTTTAAAAGTGATATATATATGTAAGTGTTGATAAATATGGTGTTGAATTTATATTATGTTTATTGTGAAATTTTGGTTTCAATGCCATATTGAATACATTTTAAATTTCAAATTGTTGTTCAAATTTCTAGCCAGGGGAAATAGCTGTTAAAAACAGTTCCTAAATTGATGAAATACAATAGATAGATACAAAAATTTGGTCTAGGTTGGTTAAGACTTAGTCGAGTATGGTTCAGACTAGGTCGAGCATGGTTCAGACGAAAATAAAATGGTTAAGTACTGATCGAGTACAAGTTCAGACTGTTAAGTATGGTTCAGACTACAGTCGAGTATTATCAAGTAAATTTCAGACCAATTCAGACAGGTCGAGTAAAAATCAGTACAGTCGAGTACAAATATAGGCCATTTCAGACTTTTACTGGTTTGTAGTGATTGTTTCATATTTTTCCTTTTAATGCCGACTATACAGTATGGGTTTTTGTCATTGTTGAAGGCAGTAGTTGCCTATTATTGCTTACATCCACTTCTTTTGAACTTTTGTGTGGATAGTTGTCTCATTGGCAATCATACCGCCTCTATTTTTATATTATAGAACGGAAACTGCAAATTTGCCATTTTTGTCCATTTATAAAGGGCCACAACTCCAGAACAGCAATAGTGACGCCACCCATATTCAAACTTGATCTGTGTTGAGCATTGTGTACAAGTATCAAAACATTTGGTTGAGGTAAAAATTAAGTTGGAGAGCGGAAACTAATTGTGGGACGCAAGGATGGACAGGATAAAACTTAATGTCCCCCTCCACCATGACGGGGGCATAAAAATGTGATGCCATTGGCTATACATGGCCCTTTAAACCAGGTGAGTCATCAACTGAAATTACACAGAAGGCAGGATATGGCTATGTTGTTTTGTATTTTTCCATTTTATTTATTTTCTTCATATTAATCATGCATACTTTTTACAAGACTCTTAGTATCCAAAGCTTACAGAAACCCACTTTACATGCATTTCTATTTCCAAAATGCAGATGTAATATACAGTAATTCAAAAGTAACACAGATGAATATAATAAATAGCATGTTTTATTTGACATAGAATAGGTAATGTAAACATCGTCGTCATAAGAATGTCAAGAAATATTTAGAATGCCACAATTGTACACAGTATCCACAATTATACACAGTATAGTTGGGTTAAAAATTTTAAATATGACTGTTCTTGGAAGCAGAGCACAGTGACTGCATTATGATATAGGATGTATAGTTTTTCAAAATGAAAATGTTAAATAAGACGTGCTATTTGCTGCTGTTCTATTATCAGGAGAGATGTTCAGCAACCATAGCACCAGTTCGCCGATATCAACTACAGTTCTTGGTCTTGAAGTTCACTGAAATAGAGAAAAGTTTCTTTACTCAACTTGGAAAAAATAATCGGTATTAAAGGTACCCAATTTCAGATTTTTCAGACAATGAAACTCATCAGCGATTTATAATGAGGAAGTTTTCATTCAAATTTGAAGAGGATTCAACACAAACTAAATATTCATTATTCCTTGAAACATGTTTGAATTAATTTTTTTGGCATTGTTTTCTTAGTAAAATGTTGGGCTGAATTTTTAAAACAATTTATGGTCACAATTTGACAAACGTGTTTTCAGAGAGTCTAGTTCCTGTATTATACATATCCCCAAACTGAATGTCCACCATTTGCAATTCATCAATTAAATTGATTAGCATGGTCTATAGTTAGTTCTGTTGTGTCTTTTGATTTTAATTTTAATAGGTTAGCAGATGCAACTGGTATGTTGGTATTAAACAAGGTTTTCTTAAAATTGTAAGGGTCGGTCGGGAAATCCTTGTGTGATTGGTATTCTTCATTTTTACTGGCGACCTGGGCTACAAGGAAAATGCAGTCACCATTTAGGGCTTGTCATTTTACTATCATTTCAGCAACTTTAAAATAATTCAAAGCATAAAACCAATCTAAAATATTTTTGGAGTTTCACTTACATATTTTTCTGCTATAATTCCATCTTTAACAAACCAGAAATAAGGTGTTACTCCGTCTTCCCTGTAATCCATTAATACTATCATTCCTCCGTCGGCCATGTTTTCTCCTAAAAAAATATTTTAATTTGTTACTACAGACGACCTAGACAAGTATTATGTAGCAGTTACAACTAAATTCAAATTTAATGTAGTATGCGATTATTCTGGTATTCAAAAGGTAAATCATGGTTCCATATTTAGCTGAAATTTTGTTGAAGAAATGCACAATTTATGGATTTTTTCTTAAAATGAAACACCAACAATGAATCAATCAAATACGACTGAAGGTTCATTATTTTTTTTATTAAAAATTAGGATTAAATTGTACAAGTTTCAACTGCTTGCAATTGATTGTGTTCAGTCATGCAATCTGAATTTGAGCGGTAATGAACACCTACAATGTATCATTCAACTACAGACAGGCAATTCTTAAATCTTACCAAGGAAATAAGTAAAGACAAGATTACCACCAAATTCAAAGAAATTTAAATTGTACTTTGTAAATCAGGTGGAAGTCAAAACATATAACCAAATGAAAGCATAATGCAACCAAAATCTGAAAGCTACAATCTTTTCAAACTAATAAAACATTTAAAATAAGAATAAGACATTATGCCATTGTAAACATGGTAAATATGCTTTACAGTTTGCTTTAGAGTAGACAACTATACATAACCTTATATACATGTAAATATACCTTGAAAAAATTGCCAATTTTTAAAGTTTTCTAAAACTTTTTTTACACCCGTGGCTGCTCGTTTTTTGAAGTCATCTGCAGCTTCTTTGCCTTTTTCTTCTTCAATTTTAGCTAATAATCTGAAATATAAACAAAGATTTGTTGACATAAAATAAATTACTGTGTCAAACACACAAGATATGATTGTCCACAAACAATAATAAAAGAACCAGATTTTTTTCAGTCACACAACTCACATTTACTTACACATATGAAAAAAATTAAGAAGTAAATCCAATTACTCTGTATTGAAAAAATGCAAAATGATCAGTAAAAATTGTCTGTTTTTATCGAACAAAAGTTGAAACTATTTAACAGCAACAAGTTGTAAAACCACACACTTAACTGTAAGCATTTTAGTGCAAGTTTTGGTCAAAAAGTTACTGAATCTAATATGTATGGAATGGTCAAGCAAACACTGTGGTGCTAGGACAGAGACAAATGAGCAAATAGCCTTTCAAGTATTTGATGGGAAATTAAATTTTTTTTAAGGATTCTATCACACCTAAGAGCTAAGATCTAGAAATCTTTATCATCAAATACTGGTTTTAAAACTGCATTGCAATTTGATTTTCTGTCTCTAAAATGCAGACTGGTCCGAACGCATGATCAATACATTTAATTATACAATATAAAAGACAAATTAAGAAGAGTCTAATAATCGGGTGTACATGATATATATTTTTACTATTTAAATGATCAAAGATTTGTAAGGCTATTTGAAAATTGAATGTTGGCTTCTTCTATTTTAAACACAAGAAAATTTTAAAGGGTCAGCAGACAGAAAAACCTCTACTTTTTTCGTGGAAGAAAGTGAACGAGGCACATCCAGTTTCGCTCTACAGGAAATTCTTGAAACAAATTTGTTTAACATTATATCTAGAATTTTGTTGTGGTGTAAGCCATTCTAAACATTAAGAATGATTAATGAAACTATCATCAGAAATTGTCAGACAATTAAATTATCATTGATAATTGTCTTAAAAGACTTGCTCTTTTTTTCTCATCTGTTAAAAAAAAAGAATTGGCCATGGTGGGGAAAAATAGACCCAGCAGGGTAAGGGGAAAACAAAAATCTTTCTTGCATGGTCTAATGCCTCAAGAATGTCAGTTAAGCTAGTACTGCAGCAAGAACCTGGAAAGTTTATCAATAATATTTCATGTCAACACAGAAGTGCTGACTACTTGGCTGGTAAAACAGTGCACTTTAAACAAGACACTTATTTTATCCTGATTTTTTTATTCATATTCAATCACCATGATCACATTGAGAAATAAATAGAAAATGTTACGATACTGAAATGCTGTAATGAAAAATGCTGCCTTGGAATTAAAATGTATTTCAAATTATAAATTATCAACAGAAGTGGTACATGTATATTGCGATTTGTTGAACCTACACATGTACAAGACATAATTTGACATACACTTTTATATATTCTTTGATAAATGTCTGGTAACCTTTCTTGTCAAAACTTGTTTCTTGAAGTTTGTGACTGTAAATAACATTAATTTTGGTTTCAACTAAGTCTTCTGTGCCCTCTCCTCCCTCCTCCGCTGAAGCATTGGCTCCAATTGCAGATTCATCGATTTTATTGCTGATAGAAATATTCTACAAAAGACAAAAGTAGTAAAAAACATGAAGGATTATTTTTAATTTTTAAATTATAACAATTTGTAATATTTATAGCCATCAGGAGTACTTAACAAAGCGAACACATTATGGTATTTACGAATGACAAATACTTCTGATTATAATAACGTCAATGTTTTTTGTTCATGAAATTCCTAAAATCATACATTTGAAAATATTTTGCTGATGTATAACATTGTATAAGCAACATGTACATGTACAAGCAAAATTATGCTTGTATGTGGTTAATTTTAATTTTATGCCCAAGTAAAATTTAAAATATAATTGACGTTAAAGACAACATTCATAAATTACCGCAATGTAATTGTTTTATTGGTTGAACTGTTTCACCATCAAAGGTGGCGTCTTCAGGACATTTGAATTTAAATCAGAAAGAATATTATATCTGCAACAAGTGTAACATCACATTAATTAAATGACAATTATAGTTTCAGTGGCATTGACTCTCTTAAGTTCAGAAGTATGATACATGTAGACGTATAGTAGTCAATCTCGTGTTAAACTGTTAGTTATTGAATAAGAGAAATTTTTCTTGTTGTTCTGCTGTTATTAGATGTAAATGTTTTGATAATTCTGTTCCAAAATGTAATGAATGAAATTTTCAAATATAACATAAAGGATACTGCTGCATCGTTGCCTTCCTTGAATTAAAAACATTTGAGTCTTTTTTCGCATCTGAATTGGCCCTTTAAACATGAAAAAAAAAACCTGAAAATTGTGAATTCTAAATTTAGCCTAGCAATTATTAAATGAATAGTAAGGTTTTAATCCTTTTCAAATATTATGGAAACTACATGTACTTTTGTATTGTTTAATACTGAGAATGTGTGGACTTTACATTGTATATTTGTAATTACAATGTACCTCACCTTAGATTAAATTATGCAAACCCCTTATTTACATGTCAACGTACATGTATTATTCAAATCTAAAAAAACTTGTATGGCCTTAGCAAGTATACATTATCGGGTTTTCTACAGATTGATATCCTAAAATATCAGTTGCCAGCCTAAATGTGAACCTTTTTAATTAGTGAGCAAAGCAAATGAGCTAAAAAGCATCACATTGTGTCTAGTGGCTAAAACATGTACTTTATGAAAATCTGGGTTGCGTTCAATATCATAGCGCCTACGTAGATTTTTGTCTACTGAACGAGTAACTAGCCTAGCTGCTATCAATATCTATGTAGCAGCTAGGCTAGCTACACGTTCAATAGTCATAAATCTACGTAGCCGCTACGATATTGAACGCAACCCTGTTAATCGTTGTATTACTGGTCTTTCCCACTCACTTAAGACAGTTTTATGCTTGACGTCTTCACACATTATACATCGCTGATAACTGCTCCTCAGACAAAATGAGACATTGTGACGTCGCTGATAAGGTCTGCTCACACCTCAAAGCCTTTATACAAGAATAACAGACCAATTGAGCAGGGTGATATAGGTTAAGAGAAGGACGATAATGTACATTATAATTACCTTTCCCTCAATTTCATAGAAGAAGTCTTCTTTCACAATCATTGGTTCAAAAGCATCACTGAACAATTCATCTCCTGAAAGAAAAATAGTCATATATTTTCACAGGAAGAAACAAATGTTAAGTTCATAACATTTGGTAGAGGCAAACTTAAATCAGAGAACGGAAACTAAAATTTTTTGGAATTTTTCCATTAATAAAGGGCATAACTCTAGAACAGTTAAAGTGATGCCATCAAATTTCGAACTTGATCTGTATTTTGTGGTAATAAGCATTGTGTATAAGTTTCATAACATTTGGTTTAGGCAAACTCGAGTTAGAGAACGGAAACCAATTTTGGGATGTACATGTACGAACGTACAGACTGACAAGGGTAAAACTTAATGCCCCCTGCGCTATGGCTGGTATAAAAACTACTCTGTTTATCATGTTTATGAAATTCAATGTTTTTCAATAAAAAGATATTAGTATTAATATATGTAATATAGTCCCAAACGGCCAAAGTTAAGCAACTTTAATTAATAAATTGAAACAATGCATATACATGGAAATCATATACATTAATCAAGTACAGTCGAACCTCGTTGTGTCGAAGTCAAAGGGACCGGACCAAAGTATTCGACTCATCAGAGGTCAAGTGTGTCATATATTTAAATTTAAAGTGTACTCCACCATGCAAAGGGCTGAAGGGTGCCCTCAAAACGTAGCAAATCCTGCTTAGAGTGCCCTCTATGAAAAAATTACCCTGCCCTATTCAAAAGCTGCAGGATACATTAAGGGAGGTCAGATGATGACAGATCTGAAAATAGCTACGGACACAGAATCCCAAAAAGGGATTAAATTAGGGTACATGTAACTGGTCCCAATCTTCTGATGAACACAGTATAGCGAATATAATAATAATATATTTTCCTCCTTGGTTGTATTAATATTGTTCAAAGTAAAATTGTATCACTATTAGAAGTTAGTTGATATGCGATCTCTATTGGGATTTCGGAGCTCGTATCTGCTTTTGCTGTCCACCAAATCAATGGAAAAAAGTCAGCAGTTCTTAAGTCAGAATCCAAAATGGGATAGTCAAAGGGAGTGTCTGAAATGGGTTTTCAAAACAGCTGACTAATACTCATTTTTAAGGTTCTATTTTCTTCTTTGTTCGTTAAATCAAGCTTTACTAAAATGACAAATAATATTTAAAAATGTAAGATTTATCAATTTACCTGATATTCTACACCTGTAAATAATCATTTTGGCTGATGTTGGTAGATTATTTTCTGTTACACACAGAAGTGTTGCGACACCGGCTGTCAGAACTGGTGAAAAGGACCACTTCCGGTTTTGTTTGTCATCAAAACGTTTTAACAAAGAAGCTTTCTAAAAAGCTTGAAGTGACAGTACTAGTCCCAAAAAATACGATTTCGTGCCCACGTTTACCATATCGTACCCTATGGGCCAACTTCATCGTACTTCATGGACTAAATTCATGTTTACTATTTCGTATTCATATTTGTAAATCGTTAAAATTTTGTACCAACATCGGTATAGATGATGTAAAACACAAATTTATATGGGGACGAAGTCCCCAATAACTGTAGAAAAATCAATAAAAAAAAATATATAAAATAATCAATCTTCTAATGAACCAATCTCCGGCGCAGAGTTCATATCCGTTCTATACATGCTCCGCAATACTGCACTTAACTGTTAACATGACCTCAGGTCATATTGAGTGTAGTGTTACGTATACGTAGTATTGAACGGAACGGGTATGATCTCTGCGCCGGAGATTGCTAATGAACTCAAAATCGGTAACTTTTTTTTCTAACTTTTTTTATTTTCCCGCATCTGCGCAGAAATCTTTTCCGGTATCGTTTATCTCGGGATTTGAGTAAAATATTTGAGGGATGTGCCTTATACAGTAGGAAATCAATAGACACTAAAAATCATTATAAAAATCAACAATGAAATCATAGCGTTTCTTCGTTTAAATTGATAATGACGTCACAACTAAAATCCCTAACAACAGGACCAACATCGGAAACGTTTCCGTATTTCCGTTTCTTTCTTTATAACAGATTCTGGAGTTAAAAATATGCTTTTATTAAAAAAGTAATGTGTACGGACTTCGTCCCCTTTCACAGGTAACACCTGCCTCATATTAATTCAAAAAAAGGATAGATCCCTTAATAGGCCACTTCACGGTTATTTCAGCCATATTGAATACACCTTATCGCTATTTGTCCGCCATTACTGGACATCACAAAAGTTCCCGTAAAATTTTGACGTCATAATAGAAAATATCTGACGCCACAATGGAAAAGTGATTGTTGTATGACGTCAAGAGTTCAAGCGGGATAGATTCTCGGGTCAAGCGGGAATAGCGATAAGGTGCAGATTTTTTGGATAGAGGTGGAAATAGTAAGAAAGTACGGGTAAACCTATGCATGTTTCCAAGCAACTGTTCTGTTTTAATGATGTTTTCCCTTATTTTTCAAACCATTTGTACCTCCATATAGAAAATCTGCCTCTATTCAACATGGCTGCATTCACCGTGAAGGTAGACTGGTACCCGGCCGTTATTGAAATTCTTTATATTCCGAAGGCATACTGGATATTTTACGGAGGGAACCAACCTACCATGAAGGGAGCTGATACTGCCTTATAATAAGTTTTTAAAATGTTTTATATTGAACCTGGGACTATTATACTATTAGTATAATAGTCCCAGATTGAACATATCAAGAAATCAACGCCACTTTGCTTATTTGAATATTATACTAAGGAAATACACCTTATCGCTATTTGTCCGCCATTACTGGACATCACACAGGTTCCCGTACAATTTCGACGTCATAATACAAACTATCTGACGCCACAATGGAAAAGTGATTGTTGTATGACGTCAAAAGTTCAAGCGGGACAGATTCTCGGGTCAGGCGGGAATAGCGATAAGGTGTATCGGATACGGGTCACGGAAATTATATTGAAATGATAGGGAATTTTGAAAAAAAAATGTAGACAGGTTGTGGGGACAGAACATAAATATACACAACAATATACACCATTTAAACGAAACATAATGACTGTCGTTGCAAAAATCAAGGTTCCTGAGCTATTTTAAAAATCGAAGCGAGAGGCTTTTAACATTGCAGTATACAATACAGGCTAAAATGGCTGAAACGTCAAATTTGCAAACTTCGTGTTGAAAATTGGCTAACAAGGTCATTACAAAAACAGGCGGGGATGAAAGTTATTGAAACTTGAAACTTGAATGTCCAAAGAATAAGCAAGTCCAAACCTTGTATGTGTAGTCGTTGAACTCTAGGTTCCCACGTAAAGTTAAAATGCCCCTATTTCAAGAAGAATAAACTCACGAAAACACGAAAAATTCACTAAATTCGCGTTCATTGTTTTGATTTTGACCGCCTGACAACTTTACGGAAATATCAGAGTGATTATAAACAAGGACTCTGTGACGGGCAACTTATAATATCCGTGTTTTAAAGATTTTAATGATATCAAGCCAGTCCAGTTCAAACTATTATCACGTGGTACAATTCTCATTTACATATTATGAATGTTAATTAGCAAAAGTACTACTAATTTCTGGCTATGATGCATTGGACCATTCAACCAGAGACATATTTATAACTTAGAAGAAGTTTTACTAAATTACGTGTATCTTCTCATAGATTACAAATAGAATTAGGTAGATATCAGGGTATTCCCCGAATTAACAGAATATGTAATAAATGTTCTTCCAATACTGTCGAAGATGAGGCTCATTTTCTATTTGATTGTAACAAATTTGAGGATGATAGAAATTGTATGTTAGCTAGTATTGCAAAATATAATTCTTATTTTAATCATACATGTATGAGCAGTCAAAGCAAAATTATCTGGTTATTTAGTGTAGAAAATGTTGAGTTACTTAAAATAATATGTAATTTTATATACAAACATCTTCCTGAGTGAAGATTAGTTAAAGGAAATCTATGTGTGTATATACATTTGATTGGACATAGAAAATTGTATTCATCTGAATATCACAAACATACTAGCCGATTAAAAAAAAATAATTGTTAGAATATATTATTTATTCAAATGTTCTCTTATATCCTTGAGGCATCGTCCCCTGGTATCAACTGCATTCAAGTTAACTATGATGCTTCCTTGTTTGCTTTTGATACAGGTAGGAAAGAGACATTTACACACATTTTACATGCCTATGGCCCATAAGGTATCGCCCCCTGGTGTCAGCTGCCTTTAGGAAACCATAGTACTTTCCTATTTGCTGCTGACACAGGATGAGTCATGGACATGCTTAATTTCTACTTTCTTTTTGGCTAATTATAATATGTTTAATTGATCCAACTTTTTGGGTACTATACATATATGGATATCTATTTTTCTTTTTTCTTTTTGGGCTGCTTGTTTGTTATCTATATCAACCAGACTTGCAATAAAATGCATTAGTATTAAAAAAAACATACTATAGATTCTTTATCTACGTATTCTATAAAGAACTTAAATAGTTCTCGTTAAACTTTTTTTTTTATCTTATTGTTTGTATTTATTTTATGAAAAATTATTGATGTTGTAATGTTTATGCCCTTTGGGGCCCATAATTGGAAATAAAATATCTTAATATATGTCTCTGATTCAACAAGATATTTAAAAAAAGTTATTATTTTTCTTTAGATAAATAGGTAAAATATGTTATAAAACATTTTCAAATGATTTTATTTGCAGGGTGTATCCTTAATCTAGAAATTACGAGGTTATTCACCAACCAGTGGCGGATCCAGAACTTTTCATAAGGGAGGGGGGCCGCTGACTGACCTAAAAGGGGGGGGCCGCTCCAGTCATGCTTCAGTGATTCCCTATATAATCAACCAAATTTGTCCCCCTGGATCCGCCTATGCCAACAAAGGAATAATTCTTCCATTAGGTACGATAAACCAACGGTAGAAACATAAAAAAAATAATACACCAACACACGGCTAAATAATATATCACTGAAAACAGAAAATTGTGTGAAATTCGTCAAGTTTGTTGCTATGGTTACTCGTTAAATGTTAAAACTGGAGGCTCTCAAGAGCCTGTGTCGCTCACCTGTAATTGTGTGAACTTTCAGATTCACGATGCCGTAAGCCTAAGAAGTGGTCATAATTTTGCATGATGGAGGTCAAAGGCCAACACTTATTTATTTCCAAATATTGTCTTAACTGTTAATTTTAGGTTAAATGGAGGAATTTAAAATATATTAAAAAATCAGAGGACATTATTTTGTTCAGCATTTATGAAGCCGTTAGGGTTATGATGGTAACCAATTGAAGAAGTTGCATAAATTTGGCGAATTTCGGAAGCAAATACCCAGCCTCATACTTGAGTTTCAAAATTTTTAAAACGGGGAAAAACATAGATTGTTCCTATTGAAAAGAAGAAAAGAAGAAGAAAAAAACATTGGCTTTTAACTTTTTTAAGCATTTGTTATCTGAGACTTCCAGAGACTTCTTTTACATGTGTATGTTTTTCGTAGTCTATTTTTTTATTTAGAAAAATACTTATGTAGATATAAGGAGATGTGGTATGAGTGCCAATGAGACAACTCTCCATCCAAGTCAAAATTTTTAAAAGTAAACCATTATAGGTCACAGTACGGTCTTCAACACGGAGCCTTGGCTCACACCGAACATTATGTGTTTTTTATAAAAGCCATAAATATGAGAAAAAATGGGTTTCCAAAAAAATACCTTGACCCCACACAGATGAAAAATCGCTGCCTTTTAATTCAACCCAAACTTTGGTGGTAATTATAGTCCTTCTTAACAAATCTTGAAATTATTGGGTCCTTCACAATTATTTTATTCAATTTTTTGTCCTTTTTAATTCTTTTTTAGTATTGATGAAAGACGAGTTTGAGGTCAGATGAGGTCACCAACTGTAATCTTAAAGAGGATTACAAATGTATAATTTAACCAAAGTTCAGTAGCAAGCGGTCCTGCACGCGGTTTTCGAGATTCTTTAATTGGATATTTTGTAAAATGTTCGATTACCAGTCGACCAGGCATGAAAGTATTTATTCTTAAAGAGGTTCCACTCTTTTATAGCAATTGATCCTTCACATGAATGTTTTTTTTTTTATTTTGATTTTTTTTTTTTTTTTTTTTGCCCATGCAATTTTTTATTTCTATAGAAACGTAGCACGCATGTTAAGTTATATGCACCAGCTACAATGAAATTGTTTGATGATTTTTCTTCCCACTTTTCCAGACTCGGTAACTTTGTAATTTTTAAGCATATTTACAAAAGATGGTGCCAGTTTAGGTTAACCAACTCGACTCGAACAGCTTTTAACGAAGAATCCTGAAAC